ATAATAAATAATCCTATATCATCAGTGGAGTAGATTCTGACCACTTGATAATTTTCATATGAGATGGGACCATTCAAAAGCAATGGGTTTTTATTAATTTATTTGTTAGAAAGAAGAATTTCTTGATAAGATGATTAATATTCTAAGAGGATATACACTGTTCATTTCTGAGCTCTTTTTAAGAGAAGCAACTTTAGAAGATAATTTAAATTTAGATTTAATCTGACTACAAGTGGGAATAAAGGAGGTAAAAGAGGAGGGAGTCTTTTCTGACTTCTGCATTAAAGATATCTAATTTCAGTGCTTTGACATTTTGCATATAACACAGTTAAAAATGGTAAAAATAAAATGAGATAAATTTATGTAAAGTATAATTTAGAAAGGTTGATATTTTATTAACATACTAGAGGCCTGGTGCACAGATTCATGCACTGGTGGGGTCCCTCGGCCTGGCCTGCACCCTCTTGCAATCTGGGACCCCTTGGGGGATGTCAGAGCCAGTTTCGGCCCAATCCCTGCAGGCCAGGCTGAGGGACCCCACAAGTGCATGAATCTGTGCACTGAGCCTCTAGTATGCATATAAAATCTTTGGTTAATATCTTCCTGCCCTCCCCCCTCCCCTCTTCCCTCTGAGATTCACCAGTCTATTCCATGTTTCCACGACTGTGGTTTCTGCTTCTGCGTTGAGGGTCTGCCCCCTGGTGGTCAGTGCACATCATAGCTACCGGCTGGTTGGCTGGTCGGCCAGTCACTTAGGCTTTTATATATAGAGAGATGCATTCACAACCAAGGTACCTATTTCTAACTTCTGCTTCATTAATTATAACTTCTAAAGCAGTAGGGTTCAAATCAATGTCTATTCACTGGATGCCTGCTGCTAAAAATGCATTGCTCCAAACTAGAACTCATATATTGCTTGGGGGAATATAAATTGGTATCACTACTTTGGAAAAACTGTTTGGCAGGATCAACTCATATACACAGCCTTTCATCCAGAAATTCTACTCCTAAGAGAATGTGATACTTGCTTATGGTTGAAAACTTGGAAATGGAGAAAAGTACAAAGAAGAGAATGCAAATAAACTCATCTTAGTGTGGAGATAATAATTATTAACACTTTTAAGGAGAACCTTACTTTACATACTATTTTGTAGTAGGCTTATTTTATACAGTAATATATTGTGAATAGGTTTCCACTTAATCAGTATTCAACAATATATTTAAAAAAATATCTGTCTATCATATCATAACATGGCTACCCCACAACATACAGTGCTTACCATAATTCTGTCTTGTTGGATATGTAGGTTATTTCTAACTTCACTACATTTAAATGACACTAGTGGATATTCTTATATATAAATTTTTAGCAAATATTTGAATATTAAATTCCTAGAAGTATAATTTCTGATTTCAAAGTATGTACATTTTAAAGATTTATATAAAATTGCTAAAAATTATTATTTTAACAATAATTTTTATTATTAAATAATAATACCATTTATTATGATATTGTCCAACATACAACAATAGGCATAATTATTTTTTCTAATCCTTGCCAAATTTATAACTAAAAATGCCTGCCATTCTAGGTTTAATTAGTATGGTTGGACTTTTAATGTAAGTATATTGTCCATTTGTATTTTTGCAGAATTCTCTGTTCATCTCCTTTGACTATTTTTCTATATGTCTTTATTTAGAATTCCTTACCAAAATTCTTTGCTTACTATATATGTTGTGGATTATTCTGCTTTATTACAAACTTCATATTTCAAAATCCTTTTTAAAACTAGCAAACTCTGATACTTTAGTTGTCTTCTTGAGGAAGCAGAACTTGAGAGAAGCTACTGTCACAGATAGATTTCATCAGGCACCTTTGTTGGACTTTACTTGTTTTCATTTCATGTTCTTTCTTTTCTGTTTTCCCTCTCATCTACTTTTAGTAAGACTTATTTCCTTGAAGCGAATGACTGTTTCACTCCCAGAGGGCATAATGGATGTGTATGAAATTGATAGAATTTCATACATCTCTATTTGTAGAGAGGGAGCTAACATTCTTTAGTACTTGCCATGTATCAGGGCCTGAGCTAGACACTACTATACTAATTCATATTATCCTTAAAAGAACCTTAATGAAGTATGTATTGTTTTCTTCCTTTTGTAAGCTGAGGACATTGAAGATCATTCAAATGATGTGTCCTTTCTTTCCTGTCTTCCTTTTGGCTTTCTTTTTTATTTTTAAAATATTTTTATATGTTGTTTTTTAAATTGATTTCAAAGACAGGAAGGGAGAGGGTGGGAGAGATAGAAACATCAATGATGAGAATCATCAATCGGCTGCCTCCTGCACTCCACCTCCCCGCTGGGGATCAAGACTGCAACCAGGCATGTGCCCTGACCAGGAATCAAATGGTGACCTCCTGGTTGATGAGTCAGTGCTCAACCACTGAGCCACAATAGCCAGGCCCCTTTGGCTTTCTTTATTTTCCTCCATCCTGCTCCTTTTAAAGTCTTCTCCATCTTTGTTATGACAATTCCATCTTTCCAGCTGCTCAGCCCTTTAAAAACCTCAGGTTCATCTTTGTTTTTTTCCACTTCATACTTCACATCCACCCTCTAGGGAATCCCTGTCGGCTCATCACCTCCACCCCATCTCCCTGGTCCATGTCACCATCCTCTTGCTCCTGAATTATCTCAATACCATTTTACTGGGTCTCTGCTTCAACCCTTACCCCCTAGCAGCTGTGGGCAAACTACGGCCCGCGGGCCAGATCCGGCCTGTTGTTCCGGCCCTCCGGTCCAGTTTAAGAACCCATTGTGGCCCTCGAGTCAAAAAGTTTGCCCACCCCTGCTAGTGTCTATTCTCAACCCAGCAGTCAAAGTGATGCTATTATAATGCGTCAGAAGTAGTCACTTTTTTACCCCAAACTCTCCAGTGACTCTCAACTCAAAGTAAAATCCTCACCAGATCTGAGTTATCCTTACCTCTGACTTCATCTTTTCCACTTTCAAAACCTTGGCTTACGGCTTTTGTACTTGCTTTCTGCCTCAAAGGTTGTCTGCCCGGATATCTTACTCCTTGATCTCCTTCAGGCCTTTGTTCAAATATTACCTCCTTCAGAGGCTGTCCTTGATCATCTTATTTAAAAGAGATCCCCATCAGATTCCTCATGTCCCCTCCCTGCTTAATTTTTCTCCACAGTATTTATAATCATACAGCAGCCCACATATTTTCCTTATGTATTTATCATCTGTCTCTCCCACCTGGAAGGTGAACTCTATGAAGGCTAAGATTTTTGTTTTTGTCTTCTGCTGTGTCCCCCACCTCTAGAAGAATGTCTGGCATGTGTAAAGCATCAAATAAATATTGGTTGAATAAATGAATTATTCTCCCACATTCCAATCTTAGGGCAGGCCAAGGTGACCTGCTGTGCAGAACTTCCTGGCTCCTGTTTCCGTTTCTATCTCCCTTGTCCTTCCCCAGCTTTTCCTTAGGAGTCACTTGTCTGCACTTGTTATAGGTGAAAGGCTTGTGAGTCCTGAATGGCATGGGCAGCAAGTGCACCCAGTGTTTCTGCTGCGGCGCACAAGCACATCAGTGGTGGTAGACAGCAGAAGGAAGCGTGAAGTTTGCATCATTCCATTGCCATGGTTGCAAGTGGGAATTAGAAACTATACTATCTACTGTATAAACTAAGTTATATAGTTTTGGCTCTCTCTGGATGCCATTCATGGAGAATGAAGGGAGGAAGCTACTTCCTCCAAAGGATAATTTGGTGAGGTGCCAGCAGGATGCCGCTGTGGCCGGACAAACTTCCACATCCGCCTTTGCAAGCCACAACCTGCCCAGATTGTGGCTCACCTCAAGTTTCAGCCACACCAGCCACAGGACCCTGAAAATGCCAAGAGGGCCTCTCACTAAGGACTTGATTCTTCCTCCTGGATTTCATGTCCCGAAAGCAGAGCGTTGACTTCGCTGCCCAAGCGTGCAGGGGGAGTGGGAGACGGAAGGAAGAGGAGTGGGGGTGGCGCTGCCAGCGTGGCAGTGGGTCCAAATGTCTGCTGAAGGGCGGCGGGCCAACTCAGGGTCTGGGCTCTGGGAAGGAGACTGAGACAAAGGAGCAGTGCCAGAGGCCACCACCACCACCCAGCGTGGTAGGGAAAGAATCGCCTAACCTGTTCTCGCATCTTCCAGGGAGTCCTGAGCCGGGGAAGTTTCCTTTTTGCTGCAGAACAGTCCAAATTAAAGAGCACTCACTTTTGGGGTGCTCTCACTCGCGTACACTCAGAGCAACTCAGGCAACACTGGCTCCCGCTGAAAAACAAAAGAGAACAGCAACCCCCGCCCCCTCTCCCGGGGCAGTGGTTTGCGGAGACCCAGTCTCGCCCTGCCCACTCCAGGGAGTTTGCCAGTAGCAAAACAGGGGACCGCTTCCCTCACTTGACTTGGCTCTTTGGGGATTTTACTAACATTTAAAAATTCAAACTATGGGGAGGAGGGGGAAGAGGTGGGGTGGCGAAGGCCCCAGTAGCCGAGGTCAAACCTTTGGGAAGGGAGAAATCTAGACCCTCCCTGCCGTGCAGCGGTCTGACTGCTCCACTCGCGGGTTTATTGTCCTGTGCGGGTGTGAGTGCAGGAAGGAGTGTGGCTCCCGAAGGGCCAGCCCCCAAGGGCGAGTTGTCCTCCATTCCGCAGGGGTGTAAGTTTCAGTGGAAACTTTCCCGTAGAGGCTCCTCCTCTTTCACCTTGGAAACAGGCACCTGGCGCAGC